ACCTAGGTACGATGACTCATAAAAGGAAACTCATTCACCATCATTCATTCAATCATTACCTTGCAAGACATGTGCTGAAATCGCAACTCACATGACAGTCTAACTGCAGCGTCCCCACCCCTAATGTTAACTGGCTTCCTTTGAACCCCCCCCACCCCCACCCCCCTTTTTTTTAACACACTGGCCATTTCCCACTGAGCCATGGTGATCCAAAAAGAAAGAAAAAATACTTTCATCATCTTTCAACACTTTCACCATCACTCATACATAATCACTGTCTTTGAAGAGGTGCTCAGATACAACAGTTTAGAAGTCCCTCCAAATTGCTAATATCCCAAACCCCTCCTTTAACCCCTTGACTCTCGCAACCCCCAGTCCTGAGGTGTTTCCTGGTGTTGCAAAATTTAAAAAAAAAAATAAAATTTTTTTATGAAATGATAGAGAATCTTTTCCCGATTGTATTGACACCAAAAAAACGAAATTTGATGGAAAACTGACAGAATTACGCTCTCTCGAAGTTAGCAACCTCGGCGATATTTAAAAAATCGGCATTTTGCCCATTTTTGACCCTTTTTTTTGGTTAAATTCCTTTGTTCCGTCGACCAAACTCAAGCTATTTCTTTAGAACTCCTTTTTTTCTATGATTGAGTACAAAAAGCCCATTACCAATTTCAACTAAATAACATGGTCAGAAATTTGGGGCTTTTGGGGGCCAAATTTCACAAAAAATTTAAAAAAATTATGCCAATTTCAAAAAAAAGGCCCCCAAATGAACTTTTTGTAGACAGCCTGTACGTCTCACAGACACCCAGCGTCGCCACTTAGTTCATATTTCGCGCCATGGGTGCGCCACCATACCCCTTGCCATTTCAGTATCCCCAGACTTCCACGCTCTCATCTCACAGGGGCCTAGCAGCAAGACACAAGTATCCCAGCTCTCTCTCAGGGGGATGGCCCTGCCGGGGCCAGGGCAAAAACACACAACCTTGTCCCCACCACGCTTAACAATAAGTAAGAAGCCCCCGAAGACGTATCATTTCCCCCCCGTACCAGAACACCAAACAAATTCGTTTTAAAAATGGTAGCAGGGGTGGTCGCAGCTGTTTTTGGGCCGGGAGAGAGGAAGGAGAGGAATGAAAAACTTCACTTCATAAACCCTACACAACAAGCACCCCGTCTCTCAACGAGTTACCTGATGTCGTGTCTGCATTTTTGAGCACCCAGACCCCGGTAAAGCAGGACCCCCACCCGAAATTGCCAAATTTCTCCGAGAATTGTAAGTGACCCCACGCTACAGCGTCCCACACGTTCTTAAGTACGTGTTAGGCCCCTTTGTATTTTGTGTTGTTGTTCAGCTCAGCACAGCGTTTCAGCAAGCCAGAGTGAGTTTTTTGTAGTGATTTCTGGTCCAGTGTGAGTTCTCCACGGTTTGTGGGGGGGGGAGGAGGAGAGGAAGTGGCTTTTCCTACTTGCCCATGCTCGCCCACTCACGCTCACCCTTACCATACATCCCCCCCCACTCCCTCTGCTGTGTTTTTTTTGCTGTTTTTCGGTGTGTGAATTCATTCCCAGACTGTGTACCGAGTCCCAAGGCCACTCGAAGTACGTGGATCACATGCCACTAGATCACGACCCACGTGGATCCGACGCCCGGGGGTGGGGCAATGTAAAGTGGATCTACCAGCCACGTGAGTCCCCACGATGCTGCCGGATTCATGACGCACGATGTCTGCCTGACGCACCTCGAGATGTCTGTACGTCACCTGCGACATCACCCTACATCACATATGTCACACGAGTGTTTCTAGTAATTATTTCATATTGTTGAGAAGATTGAGAGAAAAAAAGTGTGTGTTAATTAATTCCTCTCAGTATTTTTCTCACATGTTAGGTACCGTGGGGTGTAAAGTTTCCCCTGTGTCCAGTGAGGTCTGACCAGCCTGAGTAACACCACTGTGTTTAAGTCACCTGTGTGACCCCGTGTGTTTGACAGCTATCAGACAGCCCCGACCCGAGCCCTCTTTTACAGAAAGCTTTTTTCTCTCGCTCGTGATGTTCTGCAGAATCTCCTGCTACGATTCCCTCGAGATTTGTTTCATTCACCCCCAACCGTCAGAGTGCTTATATTAGAGAAACAAGTTGGGGGGCCTTTGACTAAACCCTGCTATAACTCCAACTGTGAGAGAAAAATACTTTTTCCAACCGCAGTTACCACTGCGGCAGGCCTGTGTCAGCCCCGGGTCACAAGCTTTGTGAGCAGCCTCACAAAAATGATTTACTTTGACTGCTAGCTCCTCACTGCAGTCTGGGGTATGATGTTACGACTCCCGATGTTTCGCCCCGTTCTCTGCCACGACTACCCACAGCTCGCTCCACGCTCGCCGCAGTGACAGCCCAGCGACGTACCATCGAGAAGTGTCCTCCTGATCGTTGCCCGAATCTGCCCCTTTTTCCGGGTTTTTTCGAACCTCACTCAAGGCACCACATGTCGGCCCCAGGGTTTGGGGAAACCTGCAGCGACTCCACGATGTCTGCTTCCACCGTTCCAGAGGAGACCGTACCCTGTTTCGTCCCAAACTCACCGCAGCGATGTCTCCCGTGTTTAGTATCTGTCCAGACGCAGGAAGGCTGCAGTGATTTCCCCTTCAACGCAACTGCCTATGACCACAGTTTTGCACACCCCACATGTTTTTTTCTTCCCTCCCGTAGGAATTTTTTTTTCCTGTCCAATGTAATAATGTTTTTATTTTGTTTCCCGGGCCCCATTCCTACGAGAAGAGACCAGTTCCTTTTACCACCACATTGGCGCGTCGGGGCTCGACTGCTGAGGGCCCCTGCTGCTCCAGCTTTGTTTTATATTTCGCGCCATCTGGGCTCCACCTGAGGCCTTGCCACTTTTGGTATGCCCGACTTTCCATGCTCTCATCTCACGCGGCCCAGCAGCAAGACCAAGTACCCCAGCTCTCTTCGTGGATGGGGCCCCGCCCGGCCATGGGGGAAAAAACACACAAACTTTGGACCCCCCCAGACTTAACAAAAAGTAAAAACCTCCGAAGACGTACATTTACTCCCCCTACCAGAAACACCAAAAAAATTTTGTTAAATGCAGACATTCCTGGCTCTAAAATAACAATTTCTTTGTTTTATCATCATATCTCCAGGCCCCCCTGATATTACTCTTGCTTTCTATTTTGAATTTTTATTCAAACAAAAAAAAAAGATTTTTGTTATCAAATCTGCAAAATTTAATAATTTACAAATAATGTCAACCCATAAGACCAAGAAAACGAGAAACACCATAAATACTATACGAAAAAGACCACAAATGGCATTTTAATTAAAAAAACGGTTTTTGGGGTTTTTTTTTTTTCATTATGCACTGTGGGGCTCCAGGATTTTTTTATATAGTGCACAGACCACACACCCATTTTCTCCATGGGGCCCCAAACCCGCTTTCTCCTGCTTGATTTGAAGCCGCTGATTTATAATTTTACAATGTCAAACACGGTACCCCTGTAAGACTATAATAGGACCAAAAAAGTCAAAGGGTTCAAGTGCAGGCATTGTACTTCTCATTTCCAGGACTCAAGTCCAGCTAACCAGTTTCCCTGAATCCCTTCACAAAATATTACCCTGCTCACACTCCAACAGCTCATCAGGTCCCAAAAACCATTTGTTTCTATTCAATCCTATCTAACATGCTCACACATGCTTCCTGGAAGTCCAAACCCCTCGCCCACAAAACCTCCTTTACCCTTTCCCTCCAACCTTTTTGAGGACGACCCCTACCCCACCTTCCTTCCCCTGCAGTTTTATATGCTCTCAAAGTCATTCTACTTTGTTCCATTCTCTCTAAATGACCAAACCACCTCAACAACCCCTCTTCAGCCCTCTGACTAATACTTTTAGTAACTCCACACCACCTCCTAATTTCCACACTCCGAATTCTTTGCATAATATTTACACCACACATTGCCCTTAGACAGGACATCTCCACTGCCTCCAGCCGCCTCTTCGCTGCAGCATTTACAACCCAAGCTTCACACCCATAGAAGAGTGTTGGTACCATTATACTTTCATACAGTCCCTTCTTTGCCTCCGTGGATAATGTTTTCTGTCTCCACAGATACCTCAACGCACCATTCACCTTTTCTGAACTCTATTATAAATATTAAAATGCTAATAGTCCAACACCACTTTTCTCCCTTCACTATGTGCTATCATGCTCACACATACTTTGTTTTTTTTTTCTCCAACACACTGGCCATTTGCCACTGAGGCAGGGTGACACCTCCCCCCCCCCCCTCCAAAAAAAAAAAATACTTTCACCATCATTCATACTATCATTGTCTTTGCAGAGACCCACAGATAAGACAGTATAGATGTCAATCTATACAGCAAATATCCCAAACCCCTCCTTTAAAGTTCTGGCACTGTACTTCTTACCCCCAGGACTCAAGTCAGCCTAACTGGTTTACCTGAATCCCTTCACCAAATATTACTCTACTCTCACTCCAGCAGCATAATATTCCTTTGCCAAGATTCCCCCCCACCCCCACACACACACACACATACTAAAGATAGACGAACAAGTTAAACAAAATCATTACATAAATTTCTGAGGTTTGGTTAAAATTCAGAATTCAAGTTTGCATTCATTGTTCAGGGTACTATACATGTAAAAAATTATACAAAATTAAATCTGCAATATTGCAACCCCACTCAGCTCAGCTTCTACCCATGTTAAGTTTTAATTGTCCTAAACATTTAAGATGACAAGTAAATCTTTAAAAACTTCTTGCATTCATTACACATTTATCTTTTGTGTGTGAATAGTTATTATTCTTGTAATGTTTTCTTTTCAGTTTAGGAGGCCTGGGAACCAATGATTCCCAGAACCATTAGCAGAAAAAAAATAGATCTGGATATTTTTTTGTTGGTTTTAATATTTCTCGAAGTTGTGTAAATTATGGGCTTCAAAATATTTCTTTGTCTTTTAGCTTGGAGACAAACAGCATAAGTCCAGCAGGTATCGTACGAATCATGGAAGCTCTTCTCAAAACGCATTCCGTAGAAGAGATCCGTCTGGCAAACCAGGTACTGCAATGCATATGTGTTTTTAAGTTGTTTTGTTCGAGATACCAGTTATGAAAAGTCTTAATTCATGTGAATATGTTCAATGGTTCTTATGCTTTGCTGTATATATTCTTGTATCATTTGACCATGTTATACTATTTTATTAAAAATTCATTATAATTTACTGAACAAATTCCTTTTGGACTATTTAAATGATACCAAAAATGTGTTATAATGTAGCTGCAATGTTTAATTCAACCAAGTCAGACCAATAATTAATTACATTTTTACAGAAACAACATGGAGTATTGTAACTAGATTTCTGCTCAGTTATTCACCATCATTCAAATCATATTATATTTTAACAATGTGGCAATTTTAAAAATTGTACAAGCTCACCTTGTTTTCGAAAGATAGACTGTTGCAAAAGATGTAGTTTACTTTACTTGGAATTATAAAACATGAGAGATGACTAATTATCTTGCAGCGGGCAAGTGTTCTTGGTAATAAGATAGAGATGCAGCTCACAGACATCATTGAACAAAATCCTACAGTTCTACGTGTTGGCATACACTTCGAATTCAACGATGCTCGCAATCGCGTCTCCAAACACCTTCAAAAGAATCTGGACACCTGTGAGTATGAAGCTGTCTCTGGCATTCTTACATAAGAACACGCCAGGGATAAACATGGATTCGTCACACCACTGTTGTAATCTTGGTGCTTATGATTTTTATAATAAAGACTTAATTTTTGATGATATTTCCAGTTGTTTGAAGCAGGTTTTCAGGTGTGATAAGTTGCAGGTGTCATTGGTTGGATATACAAGTTTAAAAGGACATTTTATTGAGGTAACATGCTTCAGTAGGTTTTTCTTTGCTTGGCTTGGAAGTTTAGTTGCAAATATAATTTAGCTAAAGCTTCGTAAGTTATGGAAGTCCTTAACGTATGAGTCGTGTGTGGCAGAAAATAAGCACCCAGTTCAGACATTGGAGAAAAAAACACAGGCATGGAGTAGATTTGAGCTGTGAAGCTTAAGTTACCATATTTTGTTATGGGGCTCTGACAGATGCAGAAAACAATATTTACACATTCCCATTAACAGACAAATCATTAAGGCATAGATTCGCTCTCTACCCAAATTTTGGCCAAGTGGTGCTTGTTCTTTGCTGCCATGCAACACCTCGTATACAGTGCCTCTATAGAATCCCCTTTTCACCATTTCCTTTGTCTTGCAATGGTCTGAGAGTTGATCAGAGAAAAATATTGGCATGATTTTTATGGATGGAATACTTACCTAGAATTTTTAAGAATTATATTAATCATTTGAAATTAGAACAATATTCAGTAATTTATATATTTTCTGAGCATGAATTCTCTAAAACACATGTCACCATTTTTAAAGAGTTTAAAGCCATACATTCAGGAACTGTTGCATGTTTTCGAGGTTACTTTTAGGGAAATGTTGCGTGCTCTTTAGGTTAGATTATATAAAAATGGAATTTTCATTTAAGGAGTCTCTACCTGTTTGCCATGTACATATTTTTTAGTAGTGACAAATAAACAAGCATACCAAATCACCTAAAAAGCTTACGACTAAAATTTATGCTTTATGGGCAAATCTGTCACATAGATGAAGCAGGTGTGTTCCTGCGCATTCTTTTTAACACTGTATTTGCATTTAAAGTAGAGTAAAATAACATATAAAGGGCTACTAATTTCTCATTAATAAAGATTTAGCCTATTGATTACTCCTTTTTTTGGACTGTTTGACTGGAATGTTTTTGGTTTTGCATATGCACTATAAGATTTAGATATACTAGAGTATATTGAAAGTAACATGCTCATGTAGTATCCAGCGAAGATTTTTCTGTATCACATTTATGATCCTGTTGAGCTCTCAGATACTTTTATTTAGATTCAAAGCTTTTATATTATATGTACAGACTGTCAGAACTAAATTTTAAGTTCATGTGTACATTTTTCCAAAGGAATGAAAAATTTAGATCTGTACATACTTCAGAAGTTGTACAACCTCAAATAGTGTTGCAAGTTGCTAAGACAGCAATGTATTATTGCAATATGTATTAATACTTGAGGAATTGTGCTGTAAAAGGAAAGCATAAGTAATGATTGCCATAAGCTACAAGGAGATATTTACATCATACCTAACTTACTTTATAAATGAAGTGTTCACAAGAAAGGAAGATGTGCTACAGAAGTTCATTTACTCGACTTCCCACACCCGTTATCATTTGTTATTAATAAAACAATCTCTCTTGTTATGTTATATGCTTTGCTTTCACTTGATTATTTTCTAGAACTTCCTCTTGATAATCAATGTAAATTAAAAATTTGTTTTATTTATTTCCTTAGCCTAATCTGAACTTGTGTATATAGTAGTGCCAATGTTCACTAAAAAGCAGTAGCCAAAAAAATTATTTGGTTAGCATTAATAGGACAGTGTTAATTTTCTTGCTTAATCTTGCCAATTGCTTCAAAACCCCTTGCTAACATTGAATTCTTAAACAAATTATATCTTCCCCTTTGTACAGCTTGAATACAAGGTAAACGTGCAAATCTGGGAGACAGGTATGGCTGTGAAGAGCCTATTGCTTGTTGTGTTTTTATTTTTCTTTTCAGCCTGACAGCAGTGTGTTAGTAATATAGTGTAGCGTAGACTTCTCTTCTCAAATTCTATGTAAGGTTGGTGATCCATGTGGGGGTAGGAAATGCTCACCAGTTTTTGTTGTTTGGGTTTATTTCCCAACCTGGCCCTCCCTCCTACCATTTTAACTGAGCCTGCTTCCACTGGGTAAAGTTTAGTTGATTTAGAATATATTCTTACTGCATTTTGGACTATTTCCTTATGATATACAAATACTGTATAGTTTTTGGCTTGCGTATTGTTAGGAGTGGAACTGTGGACAGTACTTAAAATATATTTGAAAATCATATACATAGTGTATTGCTAATGTATTAGTTTACCTAAAAGTTTGGCAAAAGAACTGTCCTTGGTTTCCCCTATTATTCCTGTTTGTATTGTACAGCATTTTTTGAATGATTTATGCAGACTTTCCCTTTCAGTGGCTTCTGATCCTCATTTTCCTCTTCCTAGCACTTATTTGTATTTTTGATCCTCGGTCAGGCCTACATCAATCACTGCATTGAGAGAGCTGCTTTTGAGCTGTTTGATATGATTATGGCATTTTGTAACCTTGAGCAGTTGTGATGATGATATCCCAAGTTGCCCAAAGAATCCACAACCAGGCCACCCCGCGCTATAAAATACACGATAAACTACCCATATTTTTCCATATTTCCAGTCCGCATAGGGGGAAAACCCCGAAAGCCAAATAGAGCCATGGCTCTTCTCAGAAAGGGCATCGCTATGGTTTGCCGAAGAGGATCTAAAGACAAATAAGAATCTATTCTACAACACTAATGGACAAGATCTTTAGGATCAGATGGTAGTATTTCAAAGGTACAGTGAAGTCTGCAAGTGATGAGGACAGCTAGAGCCAACAATTTGCATTTGGCTTACTATTATATTTATTATTATTGCATTTAATATAATTATTACTAGAATTATTACTTTATTTTGTAGTTTTTTTTGAATTTGGATGCTGCTTTCATATTCTTTTGAGCAGAACAAAGAGTTCTTCTAACGTGTGGGGATAATCCATAGACCTTCTCTGGTGTTCAGTAGAATAGGTTCTTTCATTTTTTCTTTAACTTGTGTAATACAAGTAATTCTCTTCTCTCTCTATTTCTTTCTGTTTCAATGTGCACTGGCAGTTCGCGTTGGTGTCAGAGTACGCAGAATCACAAGGAAGGTGACAACAGAGGGCGCAAGCTTTAGCTTCGTCCTGCCCTCTTCTAACTCCCCTCCAGCATCCCCCCCACCCCCATCACCCCTTCCCTCCCAGGATGAGGTTAATGAACTCCCTTCAGTAAATTGGGAGAGGCAAGCAATGGAAAGCTTAGATAATGAGGTGGCCTTTGAGGATGAGGACTTTGATGATGTGGAAGAGGGGGAGTAAAGGTGAATATGAGGACTAGGATTGACATGAGAAAAACAGCTATGCCCTACTGTTTTTTTTTCACTGTAGTGCTGCCACACATGGTCAGACATAAACCCATTTTATGCGAGTTGACGTACACAAATCAATTGAAGAAAAAAGACTGATTGCACATTCTCTAGCTTGAAAATGGGATTTGAAAAGCAGTGTAGTGTTCTTCAGATTAGGTGCTGTTAATATGAAGGAATTAGATTCGTGTAGAAATTTCCAGCGTGGAATTAATTAAAGAATATAATTTATGGTAACTGCAACTAATGCAGTCACCAGTATGAATTTGGTTGAATTACTCTGCTCTTTTCTTGTTACTGAGTAAAGATGTATGATGTACCATATATTATCAGCCATAAGTCAATCCCATTTTTTACCCAAAGCATGTGCTGCAACTCATATCCATTGTTTTACTGGAGCTATGCAATTAAATAGCCTGGAAAAAACATGGTAACCTGCTTACCAAATTGCTGTACAATTTAAGGTCAGTATGTTCTTGTATGGCATTCTTTTTCAATCCTTGCTAATAAAAAGATTAATTAAAGGTTGGTATTTTTCATATTCTATTTACAGTACAGTATTTTATTCCTTTTAAAAGGTTTATTTCATTAAACTATTGTCTTCTTAGTATATATTTACAATTATTATAAATGTCTCTTAAAGTAAAGACAAATCTGGTAGAGAACATGCTGGAACCTATACACTGGTTGCCTTGTGTGCTCTTGCAAGTATTGTACAATATTTATTATCTATTGTACAGTGCTGATTAATCCACTGTAATGCTTGCCAGGTACCTATGTGCCAATAGCTTTGTGTTATTGAAAGTATTTTATTTGTTCTCTGTAATACTATGCTACTTAACCCCAGTTAACATTTTTCATGAATACAGTATTATTTTTTTATAGTTTATGTTCTTATGTAATTCCTAAGAGTATATGAAGGATATGGTAATGCCTTGAAATTACTACTCTTATAAGGAAGAAAACACTAAACTCTTAAAGGTGAACCAGCACTTGGGAAATAGGAAGCAATTGGGTTCGATCCAAGAAAGAAGCCTTTTAATTAAAATTACATATTGGTTACTTTACTGAGAATTCTAACAAGTGTAGTGCACAGCATGAATTTATCATTGGTGTAAATCTTGTGCATGACTGGTGCAAGTTTAAGGACAGTCTTATGAATATTTCCCAGAATATCAGAAACACTGTGATTTGAGCAAGCCCATTAGAGAAGTCAGAATATGACTTGTTTACTTGACACCTTGAATTATGCTAGAATATTAATTCTGGTGCGATCAAGGCATACCTGAGATTGGTTTTGAGAGTTTTCCTACTCTTACAGCCCAGCCTGAGGCCAAGCTTTTCTCCTGATTGCTTGTTCAACCAATCTGTTGCTGTTGGCAGCCCACTTGTTCACATAACTATCGCAGCCTGGTTGGTTTGGAACCTGGCGGAGGTAGTGATCTGGTTTCCTCTTGAAAACTTCTACATTTGTTGGAGCAGTAATAATAATAATAATTTGTATTTCTACAAATACATGTACAACATATACAGGCCTGATTGATACGAGGCACTGAGAAGAACAATGAACTCGCCCAGTGTCACTTCTGAGATGATCACCTGCAAACATTTCCAGTGTGTTTGCAACAATATCTTGGTAACCAACCATACAGTTTTGATTAAACTTGCATCATTTTAAAAACTGACAAACGTAATTGTATAGAAAACAATTTTTTATTCCTTCACACTTTTTGCTCACTAGTGAGTTTGTCAGGTTTTCTTCTCAGTGCTTCTTATCAGCACATTGAATAGTCAACGACCACAGATGTTAAAGGTATTCTTTCATTGAGCGCATGGTGCCCTACTTTTTACTGAACCTATTTTACACTTCCTCCCATATCTCACTCCAGTATGTTATGGAAGTTTGTAAATTTGAAACTGGGTGTTCAAGTCTTCCACAAACATATCTGATCTCTCTCTTTCCTTCACTTCAGAAAGTACATTCCCAGTACTTTCAGGCAGTCCCTGTAATTTAAAACATTTCACTGGCACTACAAGGACAGTAAACAATCTGTCTTTTTCCAGTTCTCACATTTCTCTTGCCTTGAATTTTTTTTTTTTTTAAATACATCGGCTGTTTCCCACCAAAGGAGGGTGACCCAAAAAGAAAGAACAAAAAAAAAATGTGTAAAATGGTGGCACACAGCAAATGTAAGGTTTACAAAAATTTGCATGTGTATATACAGTACTTTGTCCTATGCAGTAGGTTGGTAGACAGCAACCACCCAGGGAGGTACTACTGTCCTGCCAAATGAGTGTGAAATGGAAACCCTGTAATTGTTTTACATGATGGTAGGATTGCTGGTGTCTTTTTTCTGTCTCACAAACATGCAGGGTACTTGGTATATCTTGCTACTTCCGCTAACACTTAGGTCACACTACGCATGCATGTACGTACATGAATATATATACGTACCCTTCCATTTTCTTAATAGTTCTTGTTCTTGTTTATTTCCTCTTGTCTCCATGGGGAAGGGGAACAGAATTCTTCCTTCTTAAGCCATGCGTGTCATAAGAGACGACAAAAATGCCAGGAGCAAGGGGCTAGTAACCCCTCCTCCTGTATACATTACTAAATTTAAAAAGAGGAACTTTCATTTTTCTTTTTGGTCACCCTTCCTCGGTGGGATACGGCCAGTTCATTGAAAAAAAAAATATATACTTTGTGCACAGAACAGTCCCCTACATATACAGTATATATATCATGCACAGCTAGAGGGTTAAACAAAATCATAAAAAACCTAACCTAGTACCTGGTATTTAAAGAAAATTACTAATTTTTTTTTTTTTTTTTTTTTTTTTTTTTTTCAACAAGTCGGCCGTCTCCCACCGAGGCAGGGTGACCCAAAAAAGAAAGAAAATCCCCAAAAAGAAAATACTTTCATCATCATTCAACACTTTCACCACACTCGCACATTATCACTGTTTTTGCAGAGGTGCTCAGAATACAACAGTCTAGAAGCATACACATATAAAGATACACAACATATCCCTCCAAACTGCCAATATCCCAAACCCCTCCTTTAAAGTGCAGGCATTGTACTTCCCATTTCCAGGACTCAAGTCCGACTATATGAAAATAACCGGTTTCCCTGAATCCCTTCACTAAATATTACCCTGCTCACACTCCAACAGATCGTCAGGTCCCAAGTCCCATTCGTCTCCATTCACTCCTATCTAACACGCTCACGCACGCTTGCTGGAAGTCCAAGCCCCTTACCCACAAAACCTCCTTTACCCCCTCTCTCCAACCCTTTCGAGGACGACCCCTACCCCGCCTTCCTTCCCCTATAGATTTATATGCTTTCCATGTCATTCTACTGTGATCCATTCTCTCTAAATGACCAAACCACCTCAACAACCCCTCTTCTGCCCTCTGACTAATACTTTTATTAACTCCACACCTTCTCCTAATTTCCACACTCCGAATTTTCTGCATAATATTTACACCACACATTGCCCTTAAACAGGACATCTCCGCTGCCTCCAACCGTCTCCTCGCTGCTGCATTTACCACCCAAGCTTCACACCCATATAAGAGTGTTGGTACTACTATACTTTCATACATTCCCTTCTTTGCCTCCATAGATAACGTTTTTTTGACTCCACATATACCTCAACGCACCACTCACCTTTTTTCCCTCATCAATTCTATGATTAACCTCATCCTTCATAAATCCATCCGCCGACACGTCAACTCCCAAGTATCTGAAAACATTCACTTCTTCCATACTCCTCTCCCCAATTTGATATCCAATTTTTCTTTATCTAAATCATTTGACACCCTCATCACCTTACTCTTTTCTATGTTCACTTTCAACTTTCTACCTTTACACACATTCCCAAACTCATCCACTAACCTTTGCAATTTTTCTTTAGAATCTCCCATAAGCACAGTATCATCAGCAAAAAGTAACTGTGTCAATTCCCATTTTGAATTTGATTCCCCATAATTTAATCCCACCCCTCTCCCAAACACCCTAGCATTTACTTCCTTTACAACCCCATCTATAAATATAATTAAACAACCATGGTGACATTACACATCCCTGTCTAAGACCTACTTTTACTGGAAGTAGTCTCCCTCTCTTCTACACACCCTAACCTGAGCCTCACTATCCTCATAAAAACTCTTTACAGCATTTAATAACTTACCACCTATTCCATATACTTGCAACATCTGCCACATTGCTCCTCTATCCACTCTATCATATGCCTTTTCTAAATCCATAAATGCAATAAAAACTTCCCTATCTTTATCTAAATACTGTTCACATATATGCTTCAATGTAAACACCTGATCTACACATCCCCTACCCACTCTAAAACCTCCTTGCTCATCCGCAATCCTACATTCTGTCTTACCTCTAATTCTTTCAATTATAACCCTACCGTACACTTTTCCTGGTATACTCAGTAAGCTTATTCCTCTATAATTTTTACAGTCTCTTTTGTCCCCTTTCCCTTTATATAAAGGGACTATACATGCTCTCTGCCAATCCCTAGGTACCTTCCCTCTTTCATACATTTATTAAACAAAAGTACCAACCACTCCAACACTATATCCCCCCTGCTTTTAACATTTCTGTCATGATCCCATCAGTTCCAGCTGCTTTACCCCCTTTCATTTTACGTAATGCCTCACGTACCTCCTCCACACTTACATTCTGCTCTTCTTCACTCCTAAAAGATGGTATACCTCCCTGACCAGTGCATGAAATTACTGCCTCTGTTTCTTCCTTAACATTTAAAAGTTCCTCAAAATATTCTCGCCATCTACCCAATACCTCCATCTCCCCATCTACTAACTCCCTACTCTGTTTTTAACTGACAAATCCATATTTTCCCTAGGCTTTCTTAACTTGTTTAACTCACTCCAAAATTTTTTCTTATTTTCATTAAAATTTCTTGACAGTGCCTCTCCCACTCTATCATCTGCTCTCCTTTTGCACTCTCTCACCACTCTCTTTACCTTTCTTTTACTCTCCATATACTCTGCTCTTCTTATACCACTTCTGCTTTGTAAAAACCTCTCATAAGCTACCTTTTTCTCTTTTATCACACCCTTTACTTCATCATTCCACCAATCACTCCTCTTTCCTCCTGCCCCCACCCTCCTATAACCACAAACTTCTGCCCCACATTCTAATACTGCATTTTTAAAACTATTCCAACCCTCTTCAACCCCCCCACTACTCATCTTTGCACTAGCCCACCTTTCTGCCAATAGTCGCTTATATCTCACCCGAACTTCCTCCTCCCTTAGTTTATACACTTTCACCTCCCTCTTACTTGTTGTTGCCACCTTCCTCTTTTCCCATCTACCTCTTACTCTAACTGTAGCTACAACTAAATAATGATCCGATATATCAGTTGCCCCTCTATAAACATGTACATCCTGGAGCCTACCCATCAACCTTTTATCCACCAATACATAATCTAATAAACTACTTTCATTACTGCTACATCATACCTTGTATATTTATTTATCCTCTTTTTCATAAAATATGTATTACTTATTACCAAATTTCTTTCTACACATAGCTCAATTAAAGGCTCCCCATTTACATTTACCCCTGGCACCCCAAATTTACCTACTACTCCCTCCATAACATTTTTACCCACTTTAGCATTAAAATCCCCAACCACCATTACTCTCACACTTGATTCAAAACTCCCCACGCATTCACTCAACATTTCCCAAAATCTCTCTCTCTCCTCTACACTTCTCTCTTCTCCAGGTGCATACACGCTTATTATAACCCACTTTTCACATCCAATCTTTATTTTACTCCACATAATCCTTGAATTAATACATTTATAGTCCCTCTTTTCCTGCCATAGCTTATCCTTCAACATTATTGCTACTCCTTCTTTAGCTCTAACTCTATTTGAAACCCCTGACCTAATCCCATTTATTCCTCTCCACTGAAACTCTCCTACCCCCTTCAGCTTTGTTTCACTTAAAGCCAGGACATCCAGCTTCTTCTCATTCATAACATCCACAATCATCTCTTTCTTATCATCTGCACAACATCCACGCACATTCAGACTTCCCACTTTGACAATTTTCTTCTTCTTATTCTTTTTAGTAATCTTTACAGGAAAAGGGTTACTAGCCCATTGTTCCCGTGCATTTTAGTTGACTTTTACAACACGCATGGCTTACGGAGGAAAGATTCTTATTCCACTTCCCCATGGATATAAAAGGAAAATTAATAAGACCAAGAACTATTAAGATAAAATCAAAGAAAACTCAGATGAGTGTGTATAAATAAATGTGTACATGTATGTGTAGTGTGACCTAAGTGTAAGTAGAAGTAGCAAGACATGCCTGTAATCTTGCATATTTATGAGACAGACAAAAGACATCAGCAATCCTACCATCATGTAAAACAATCACAGGCTTCGTTTTACACTCACTCATTTAGACAAAACTATTTAAACTACCTTGAAAATTAAACAAAATATTTCAACTTAGTCATATGTAAACAGAAATGACAAAATACTACCTTGATAACTATACAAAGCCACTGAAAAAGCCTAAACTACCCAAATTTAACCAAACCAAGAAATTAATGCATGAAACCATTTTAAAATAACTGAAAAGTATATAACCTAACCTTATCTAAATCAAAGCTATCAAAAAGCTAATCTTAGCATTATGGTATGTGGCAGGGTCTATTTAAATTATGTATAACCCTGGACTTATGGGTGAGACTGACTTATTCCTGGTAATGTACAGTATGTTTACAAAATTAAATTTAGTGCAATATATATATTACAATAATTTGTGCACATTAGATCTTCATACTTGTTTTGAGGTTTGTGTTTGGCCATGAATGGTTTCATCAGTATTGTATGTAAGTGTGAAACCCCCAAATGCCTGTATAGAACTTAGGATAAACAGGACAATTCGTAGAAATATTTTGTACAACCTCTCAACCTCTCTACAATGATACCCATAGATTAGTAGAAAGTTTTTAAGCGTATGAACTTCGCATTAATAGCAGAATATGCAAATTAAACTGTTCTAACTAATGTTGCTAAAATGCTCACTAATTTAGTATTGACTTAATTTCAGTGCAGTATTTTTTCTGTGGAATTATTATTATGGTAGAATTATTTTTGTTTATTTTTTTAATTGAATCGCAAATAATTTTCATTTGAGATTTTCTATTTTCTATATGGTAATGCACACCCATTAAATATACATTACATGCACACAAGGTAATACACAAGTTGGTTTTATTTTCAGTTATGTTTGAACTGCCTTGTTTATTTTTTTGTTCTTAACACACTTTCACTTAAAAATTCATGGTTCTTTATATTTTATATTTAATTATATTAATACAAGTTAAATTTAGTTTGCTGGTATTTTTTCCTTAAGTTTACAGGATTGTGTTTTTGTTTGAGCTTCATTATGTTGAATTTTTCAACCTTGGGAATCATTAAAAGAGGCATTGGGTGCTGGTTTTCACTTCCCAGCTTACGTGTTCCTTTTTCTTGCTTTCGTTAGTTGGTGTGTAAGTGATAGCATCATCATATTTATATTGACACTGTTGAAGCTTCTCAAACATAGTGAGTGTTCATAGGATTTTATTTTAAACTCCCTTGACGGGCTTACTGCAGACTGTCGAGTGTTGCTGCGAGGTGGACCTCCCCTTGGTCCTCTTCACCCTCATGCTGAACAGAGAA